GGCATACCGGTAAGATTACACATAGAAGTTATTAAACTTGTGCAACGCCTAGAAATAATCAGAATTCTTATAGAATATCACAATATACTCTATGTAATTTATACATCATTCTGGAATTAATGTAATTTCCTAAACTTTTTTTCAATAAACTTGAGGGGACTACTGTCTGGCAGCAACATTATTCTTATTTGTTTTGAAAATTTAAAATTATTTGATAAATATTTTTTGAGCACTTTGTATGCTTGGGGGTCTGTGACCAGGGTATTTCAGATCCACAGTAGGTGCACTAAACCTTCCTATAACAGAACATAAGGTATGTCTCATTTCCATCACAAATTTAAAAAAAAAGGTTAATCCTCAGTTGAAGGTAGAAGGTGGAGGCATGCAATTCATTCCTTTATGTCCATGGGCAAGTAATGTATTCATACCAGATGGATTCAAACACGGATACATCCTAATATTGTAGACTCATTTATTCCATCTACTGAAAAAAACAGTAGCCTACAGGCGTTTTTGCTTGTTGGTCATCATTAGTGCAGTACAGGGAAACAATGGCTTCTACGGGTCAAGGCTTGGGAACCAACAAGAAAATAGGTCAAACAAGTTATGTCGAGGTGGAATTTTTGGTTTCCTGTAACCTGTCTGGTTATCCTGGTTATCTACTTTCACAGTAGATGCCGTATCCCTGATACAATGCAGTATGCAATTTCAATATCATTATTGTATGACTTTGTTCTATAAATGCAAATGAATCTATTATTAATTATAGGGTTATCGTGGTGCTCCTGGTCTTCCTGGCACAGTAGGATTAAAGGTAACTCTGAACTGTATTTTCTTACTAGCATACTGTAAGCGCAACCTGTTTTTTTCAGTCTAAAACTGAGCCACATGGAAATATTTCAAAGAACATTTCAAGCTTACTATAAAAGGATTTCATGTTCTGTTACAATATTTGATCTCCACACCACTTTCCTTGAAAATGTAACTTTGTACACAAGAGTGATTGTTGTTATAGAGGAGTAGTTAGTTGGTACTAACAATTTCCTAAGGCACAGTTTGCTGTGCACATGTGAGCAGCGCATGAGCTGTTTCTTGCTACATTGTGCCAAACTGTCACTCTGACTCTCAACTCATGAAGCCACAGCATCTGTCTGGTAGCCAACAGCATTTTAAGAAGAAAGTCAGCAACTTCATCCTTCATATTTCTCTCACAACAGGTTTACATTAAAATGTGTAATTTTAGAATACACTTTATTTCTTGCATTACATAAAATCACATTTGGAAAAAATGATTGTCTATAGCCATTTACAATTTCAGGGAGAAAGAGGAATGCCTGGACCTAAAGGAGCCATTGGACCATTTGGCCTTAAGGTGAGCACTGAATATGGATCCTGTAATATTCACCCTAGGGGTTGTATTTATAAACAATTTGCAGAGCCATTCATGCTACTAAATTGCATGTACAGTATATTCATTCTGTGCGAATGGAGACAAAAACGAATGTTATTAGCATAATTTACAAGTCGAATGTAATTTCAGGTAAATAATACATTATGGCTACTAAATGAAGCTGAGGAGCATAGGAAGTACTATTTTTGTATGCTCCTCAGCTCCATCTTGTGACCATAATGCGGTATGCACCTCATATTACATTCAACGTGGAAAGAAAATAAGCTAATAATATTCTTTTTTGTCTCCATTTGCACAGAATGAATGTACATGCAATTTTGCAGGAAAAATTACTCTGCAGTGTGTTTAGAAATACACCCTAAAGCAGGGGTCTCAAACCTCCGGCCCTCCAGCTGTGGTGGAACTCCAAATCCCATAAGGCATTGCAAGATTTTCACAGCCCCAGACATGACTCCTGAAGAGAGATGCATCATGGGATTTGTAGTTTTACCACAGCTGGAGGGCCGGACGTTTGAGACCCCTGCCCTAAAGAGTACTGGATAATGGTACAGCAGAATAGAAGCACACCTATCAACATATAATATACCTCACGTATCAGCCATACCCTTCAGACATGTCCAAAGCACCACTATTTTCTGTCTAAAGAAGGCCAGTACAAGGGACTTCACTTTTTGCATTTTTAAAACATTTTATTCTTCTCTGAAATATCAACAACATCCATATATTCAATAATGTTAGGGTCATACTATGAGATTGTCATTGTTAATTTAGGATTGAAGAAGAGCCAATCTTGTTTTAGATTGGAAGGAACTGAGAAGAAAGCCAAGCGACAGATATGTCATGATATCAGTTCTCCCTCAGAACCATTGGACCGATGATGCGGGTATGACATGGTGAAGTTTGATTAGTTGGATTGGGGAGGGAGGTGGCTCTGGTGTTTATTCTTAATAGTTTTCCATCAGTTCCACTCCATTGGACCTCTCAAGACAAGATGACTCATTATTGGATAAAAAAGAAAGAGAGGAATATCAGGATAAGATGGTGTTGTTTCACTTTAGTCACCTTCTTGCAGCTGCTAATCGAATGGCTGACATGTTCCTTCCCACTGTGATTGGATGGCGGTTAAACACTAATGCAGATATATACTGTATATTAATTTGGGGTCTTATGTGTAATGCGATTCCATGCTTAAGAAAGGGCCAAATTAAACCAAAACATTTAAATTTACAATCCATCTGCTTTATCTACATACCAAATAACAATATATTACGGTGGAAAACATGGATGTTGTTGATATTTGAGATCAGAATAAAAGTCAGCTATGTTGTCATTCTTTGGATCCTGGCATGCATATGGAATAACAGCATTGTTAATGACTTGTGAGTCCTGTGTATGAAAATTATCCAGCACCATAAGTTTGTTAACCCCACAAGTGAGAATCGTTCTACTGTGTAATCATTTTCTATAAATGTTTTAGGTGGATCTTTATATGTGTTCATGACCCAAAATTCATCATGGTGTAATCATGGAGTGGTTTCATTGAATTGGCTATTTTTTCTTCACTAGGAAAGAAATCTAATTTTATTTAATTAACAATGGTGTACAGTATGTGCTGCATCAAAATATTTCAAAGCAAGAAAAAATACAAGCAGTTTGGGCCCAAATTTGATTTTATTGTCATACTGGACCTGTTTTTAGGTTGTCTAAAATAAAATACAGGAATTAGGCTCATTGAACGCAGAGATCAAAAGAACCAACCGTACAGGAATGCACTAATATAATACAGTCATGGTACCTTGATATCTTTCTACAGCTTAATCATCATCACTGACATTTACATTTATTTCTGATGGATTATAGGTGCATCCTTTAGTCTCAGTAAATAGAGTAGACTTGAGGAAGTTAGAGGATACAGCAGAGTTTTAGAAAAGTAAATTCATAACAATAAAGTTTAAATAAAACACGTGAAAAACAGAGCCGAGGAAGTATATAAAGCTTGGGTTTACAGGTAATAAATTCAATGAGGTACCTCAGATAAGCTAACATACAGTGAATGGAACTTTTAGGAACACTGGAAAAAGGGGGTAATGAATTACAAATGAACGGTATACCCTTTATACATATTCACAAACCCAGTCCATTGTGATTGGTGTGTACTGCCCCCATGTGGTAACTATTAAAATCTCAGACTTTTCAGGTTGTCTGCAGTGGTAAATATATATTTAGCATCATCAACCTGCTTATCATTGTGACTGGTGGAGAGGGTCCTGGATCAGAACAACAAGCCTGCAAAACAACATTTAAAACAGCAATACTGACCTGACAATTGCCAACTGTGAACTTATATTTGGAAATGCTGCAGTTCACAAATTAAGTTATGTAACATATGTCTGCTGAGTATAGTGGTGTCAGGCTTATTGTTACAATAATATACTAAACTCAGTGCAGATGCAACCAGTTTTAATAATTATCTCCAGCATCTTTTCTTATAACAGTGACTCTATGCAGCTTTCTGAGACAGAAGTTTAAAGAGCTCAAAGGGAAAATTATAATTAACCCTTGCAGTGGGGATTCCCCCCCCCCCACCCCCACTGCAAGGGTTAAGTGCTTGTTTTGGTCTAGGAAGGAAAATAACAAGCATATACTCCCCAAATACTTGGAGATGGCTTGCTCTTGAACCAGTCCCTGGAGCCCCTCTCCCCCTCTGTTGCAAGCTAGAGGGACAGCTGTCATAGCCAGCCAACTCCAAGGATCGGACGAGTTATTTTCCTCTCTAGAGTAAAACGAATACTTAACCCTTGCAGTGTGTGGATAGCCCTACTGCAAGGGTTAATAATAATATTCCCTGGAGTTCTCCTTTTAAGCTAACCTGCCATGATAGAAGAATAACAATAATAAAAAAAGCGAACGCCAGTCCACCAACCCGGTCCGTTTCATCACCCCATTTAATAATGATAGAAGCTGCCCCTGCTGACTTATCCTTCTGAAAATGCTAGTTGCTGGCTGTAATCTTAACCCACCAGGCTTACTTTATGTCAAAGTACTGGGGCAGGCATTTAAATAAGGACATTTTCTTTTCCTTTCCTGAGTCAGTGACTTAATGAATTAAAGAAAACGGTTCAGCATTACAGCCAGTCACCTAGTATTTCAGAAGGAGGTTAGCAATGGCCGCTCCTTTATTTCTTGTATCACAGGTAGTGTACCGAAACCAATAGCTTTACACTGTCAATTACAAGTCAATGGCAGCATGAAAAGGAAAAGAGATTTCTACATTGTTTGAGTCTGTACATCCGCCCAAAACATGTTCCACAAAATAAAACACTTCATCTAATGATTTTGAAACAGCACAATTTCTTATCAACAGCTAGAAAACCAATTGGTAAGGATCTTATATGCATGTTTTTCTAATATTTCAAGAGAATTTCTGTTGACAGCTGGTAGTGAAATGGTCCAAGAGTGTGATATTTGAATGTAATGCACATGGCAAGCTGCACATGCAGTATTCATGGTGGAACAACTTACTTTCCCATTTCTCAGAAAGCCTGTAGTATGAGCTATATTACTTCTAAAATGAAGCTTTTTTTAATAGGGTGACAATGGAGCAACTGGACTGCCAGGAGCAGAAGGACCTCAAGGACCAAAGGTACTACTCTGGATGCTTGGCTGGCTATGTTTGTATTTTCAAAAATATATATATATTCACTTTTTTTTTTTTAATCCCAATGCATACAAGGTGATCCAGGGCTTCCAGGACCATCAGGACTTCCTGGACTGAAAGTAAGTGGAAACTGCCCCAAGGCATCTAGATGTATTTTAAAGCCGCAAACTGTACTAAAATGATATGACTGTTTGCTGAGAAAATGCATATTCAAAATTGCGTGCTTGATTTTCTAGGGTCAAACAGGCGAGCCAGGATTGCCTGGTTTGGAAGGTTCAATGGGAATTCAAGGTCCCAAGGGGCATAAGGTACCTAATTATAATAATAATAATTAAGTGACACCTACCAGGGTTGGAAAGTAGTGAAGTAATTGTGGACATTTCATTTAAGAAACAGTAATGTGTGCTTGTGAGTTAACAAGTACCAATGAAATCTGATTTAGAAAATGACCAAAAATAACATTAACTTACTCAAATCTATTTACTGTACATACTGTATTGAATATTCATACAGTATGTCTATCAATAAGTTGTTTTTTTTAATTAAATTCTCTTTTCAGGGTGACAATGGCGATGATGGAGCTAAGGGAAACCAGGTAACATTTTTGGAAATTATTTACCTAAACTACTTATGTCATCTCTCCCCCTCTCACTTTCTATATGTATCTACATATAGAAAATGCACTAGATTGCAGAAGACAGAGCTACTGATTCTCTCCACTGCTCAATTCCGTATAAGAAAAATCAGAGAATTCACTGCAGCCCAGTGACCATTAAGGCTTAGATTGTAGCTGAGAATGGCCTGTCTTGGCCAAATAAAAAAAGTATAATCTTCCTGTAGGACTTTCTCAAGGACCTATAGGTTCAAATGGGGGGCTAAACCTCGGCTCGGTCCATACTAAACAATGTAAGGGCCTGTTCACACCACTATATAGTAACACACGTTAGGTGCATTGATAAGCTCTGGTGCCATTATTTGTGAATGCGCACCTGCAATGCAGCACACCACAACACGTGGCAACTCGCTAACACGTCTTGCGGGTCACTGCACTTGCAAAAAATGCAGCAGGTCCAATTTGTAGTGTGTTAGGCAGCCCAAATGAATAGGCTGCTTTAATTTGTATGCACATTTAAACACTCTGCAATCAATGCACCTCACCAGAATGCCCTGTTGTGAATAGGTCCTAAGCGTTTTTGTTCCAGTTGACTCTAATGTGAACCTGTGGTCAGCCTATGAACATTCTTGTATTTACTCCGCCGTAGCTCACAACTAGCAATCAATTTTTGCTTATTGTTTTCTTTTCAATAATTGAAAGTTATAAGATATGTATAAGAATATCACTCTGTTCTATATAATGATTACAAAAATTGTACATTGCATAATGATCTTAATATTAAATCATATTAAAAACGCAGTTAATAAATACAAATTCATCTTTTAATAAATTGTATTCTTGTTTGGTACAGATTTAGTTATTACAATTCTAATCTACAGTATAAGGGTTCTTTATAAATTATCATTACTAACTTACATTTTGTTTGCAGATTTCATAAATGGTGAGCTTTCTGAATCAATGAATAAATACTAATACCCTGCAAACCATAGGACATTTTCACAATATTTGTAAAAAGTCCCAGGGACTGTACAAGGCAAATATTTTGGCAGGTGCCATGTGCCTTCTGAGTAAATCTTGTAGTTAGTCTCAATTGTGTAGTTATTTTGTGAGTCATACCATTTTTTGCAAATTATTTATTTATGGTCTTTGTAACTGGCGGTGTGGCGCTGGTGCATCCTATGCCTACACATTTGTGCACACAGGTGTCCCTCTTTTTTATCTTTGAAAATTAGTTGTTATTCATATCTTTCCAAGCAATGAAGGAGTTTAAAACACTGACCTCTGTACCTGCAGGCACTGTGGAGAAATTAATCCTCAAAGTTCAGGCTGAAGCGCTGAAGCGCTGAAGCTGTTCTCAACTCAGCATCTCAACTCACTCTGTTCCCCCGCCCAGAGCACTTGCTCTGGGTTTATATTAGATTAGAAAGAGGGAAAGTATTAAAGGTCATTTACTACTTGTAAAGAATATGCAAATACTAATTTCCATTGCCTGGTCACAAGTTCATTTAAAGCTTAAAGTGACACAGTGATTCAGGAGGTAAGTCTTAAAAATGCATTCAAGTACCCTAACTAGTAACAAAAATGTATCTTATTTGTGTATCACTCAGCTGTAGAGCCTGAAATCATCTATAGATTTGTGCTGACACTGTCCTTCCTTCTTGTGGGTGGCTTCTTTTGTTCCCCATGGTCCCTGTGTGCGTGTTGTAAAGTAGCTCCAAGCCCGCTCCCCTGATAGACTACAATCTCAGTACAAAATAGTAAAGTAAACGTAATATTGTAGTCTATCATGGGAGCGAGCTTGGAGCAGTGGATACTTTACAACACACACAGGGACCATGGGGAACAAACGTAGCCACCCACCAGCAGGAAGTACAGTGTCAGCACAGAGATGATTTGAGGATCTACAGCTGAGTGATACACAAAAAAAGATACATTAATAGTTCAGCAACTTGAATGCATTTTTAAGATTTAACTCCTGAGTTTAGTGTTATTTTAAATCCAGTCTGGAATAAAATGCCCTTGCAGAACACCACACCCTCCACCCCACATTATGCAAGGCTTAAATGCTTGTTAACTCTAGGGGTAGGCGAAGGCTTACCCTCTTCCTTGCTCTTGTAGGCTCCCTCCATCTGCAGTCGGTCCCCAGACGTCTTCTCTCCAAGCCATGGTTTGCCTACTCCACGTACAATGCAGGACTAACCGTCCTGTATTGTACATGATGTTGTTGAGGGAAAGCCCAAGGCCCGTAGTTTTAAAGAGATGTTAATTGCATTGGGGCCTACCGAAGTAGGGGTTAAGGTGAGTAATACATCCTCTTCTACACCCTAGAGTTAACAAGCATTTAATATTTCATTTCCAGCCTGAAGCACAGCTCTAAAAATCTCATCTTTTATGGAGCAATCTCTGCCAAATTGCAGCTGAGTAAGGAAGGATGATAAACTAGTTGGTCCTCTATTTTCCTAAGACATGTAAGATGAGAATCTGACATTGTATTCATTTTTTAACTTGTAACTTATTAATTTGCTTGTAGGGAGAAAAAGGAGAGGCAGGCCAACCTGGGAATTCAGGAATAAGGGTAAACTTCGCTAAGTCTTTATAAGTAAAATTTGAACATATTTAACATTCTACTGTATTAATATTTGTCTTTTATCTACAAAATTGCATGTAGGGGCAAGAAGGCAGCAAAGGAGCAAAGGGAGAGGTATTGAAAAACACATACGTATTTTATTATTCTATTTGATGTTTAGAAACATGACCCTCTACCTTCATTCTCTAGAGTTATGCAGCATGTAGATTTTGTGTCCAGAAAACAAACTTTCTACATTTTGTTCAAATAATCTTGTTTCTATACTATTACATTTTGTTGTTTTTACATGTAATAAAATCACACCTTGCATATATCAAAATGCAATGTTCTTTTGTTGACCAGCTGAGTTTTTTTTTAAAAAGCACAGTTCATTGTCATTAGCCAAATGTGGTGTTTAGTGGTTTAATTACATTTTCAAAGTTTGGGTCTCATAATGCAGCAGGACCAAATTTAAAAAAAAAATACTGATCTGTAAGAGTATATTACAAGCAGGCAAGCAGCTCTTGCTTGTGATGTCCCTGCAGCTTCAGGACTATTTATTCTTTATGGTAGGCAGAGTTTAGGTAGAATGATGACCAACAAACAGACCCGTGTAACTGCCCAGAATCTTTGGGGACTATTTATAAACAATACACAGGGTACTTCATCCTGAGAATATCTGTGAACAAAAAACATGTTGTGTGAATAATGGCAAAAATGAACGTTTTTAATGTATTTTCTTTTCAGGTTGAATGTATTGTAATACTACATTGTGGCCACCAGAGGGAGATGAGGAGCAAAGGAAATAAGTATTTATTTCCTATGATCCTTAGCTCCATCTAGTGTTCATTCTAAATAAATAGCTGTGCAATGCATTACCGCGTGTTACTGAAACATGTACAAACGTAACACTTATAAGTCATAAAGTTATTTGCATTAGGCTGCTCACATAAACATACATGCCTAAATATCTTTAGGGCCAGATTCACATCTTTGCATTGCAGTAACAAGCATGTTTTTCCACCATGCAAAGTAATACAGAAACCGCAGTATGTTGCTTTGCAGTGTCATTCCTTTTTCATGCCATCCAAAACCATATTTTCAAAGCACCACAACAGTGATGCTTTGTGCTGGAAAAAAACACAAAGGTGACCGCATCCTAAAATATGCACTGTGGTGACTTAGATTTAAAATGAATAGACTGCCTTACCACAGTGCCTGTTAGGGTGCAACATGCGTACAGCGTGTGAATACAGCATAAGAAAGACTGTAGACTCCCTGTAATTGGCAGATAACATTACCAGAATGCACTAGGCATGTACTAAATTGTCATTACATATTACAGTAAGTTCACATTCTTCCAAATAAAACAGACATTGGAAAATGCAGAAATAGAAATTTACTCTATATTACAAACCATTGACTTAAAGTAGAACTGAAGCCAAAATATATATTTTTTACAGTTTTGGATAAAGAATGGGAGGGTTATAGCCCCATCAGCATTTTCTGCTCTCTGTGTCCCATTGTGGAGAATTCCTTTCATTGCCATCAATGGGAAGTGAGAGAAATGCCTGGTGGTCAGCAGGTGCACCACAACCAGTATCACCATTGGAAGATTTCCCATCTATTCCTGTTCTGAAAACAAAATTTGATATTTTTTCACTGATAATTGTCACCAGAACAAATAGAGAGGGTGAATCTAAGAAGAGAGAGGGTTCCTAACGGGGACAAAGACAGCAATATAAACCTGAGAGGTAGAGGTGTTCTAATCCCTCTCCACCCTATCCAAAACAAAACAAAGAGTTTTGCCTTCAGTTGCACTTTAACTTCAAATGGCCAGGTACTTTTTACTGTTCTGTTATGTCTATATCTCTATTAGATAGAATTCCTTTCCTGACAAAAAGTGGGAAATCTCTCAGGAAAAAAAGAAACAGGAAAAAGCTTGTAACTTCTAACAATGTTTTATTGCTGTCTTTGTGTTCTTGCGTGAGTGACAAGTGTTACCAATATTTCTTGTCCTGGTGTCACAGGAACTGTAATTGAGCGAAAATCTCCCAGGGGACTCAGGGAGCGATATAAAGAAACCTACAGAAACTTTCATTCTTCCCTATTCTGGGAAACAAAAGCAACACAGAGCGCCTCCATAGTGTAAAACTTTTATTTGATGAGTACAACACGCAAGTGAAAATGTACTTACACGAAAGCCAATGATCATAAGCGTAAAAGGAAACGATAAAATATAAAATCTCCAGCAGGGGAAGTCTGAGGGGATCTCCAAATCAGCGTCCTCTGCTCCCGTATGTTTTTAAAAAAGGTCTACGCGTTTCAGGGGCACGCCCCCTTCATCAGAACCTGAGGTCACCAGGTTGTTGGTCGTTGTTGACCGGTGGGAGCTGCCTCTATGGTGTACCAATGAACTTTACAGCCGGATTTCTCTGCAAACCGGGGGCGCCGGTATTGCTTTTTTCAGTGTTTCTTCCCTATTCTACCCAAAACTAAAAATAATAATAATAATTTGGCTGAAATTAGGCATGCTAATTGTCAAAATATTTTCACTATACTTTACTGCTGTCACTGTGTTTTGAAAACTGTTCCTAAAACAGGGAATTTGATTAGTCTGTGTTCTGGATTACAGAAAGGTGAAATTGGAGACACGGGTGAGAAAGGACCAGAGGGTAAGAAGGGAGAAGTTGGCGTACTAGGACTACCAGGGCCTCGTGGTTTTCCAGGTGAAGGTGGTCCACAGGGAAGGTCTGGAATACCTGGCATCCCAGGAAAACCGGTGGGTAAACAAATTCAGTGGAGTGTAATCAAATAAAATAGTCAGAGTTTACAAGTTTTGGAATAACATAACAAATGTGGATACTGTACATGTTCAAAAGTTAATTTCACCTTTTGCAAAAAAATAAAAAAAATGCACCCACATCTATTAGACCCCTAATGTCACCAACAGAATCCAAAGAAGCTGATGAAGCACAGATTGTGCTTCAGCAGCTTCTTCTCCGGCTACAGCAGCCAGAGAAATGACACACTGAAACCGGAAGTGATGTAATACAAATCGCTTCCAGGTTCAGTGATCGGAGGGGGGATCAGCCGCTTGAAGCAGTGGATAATGGAGGTGGGGGAGCACACACTCCCCAGCATCGTACAAGCACCCAAACCTTTGTAAGTGAGCCGCCATCACCGGCTGTAAAAAATGATGCCAAGATCATGGCTGCTGCTTGGTATAACTGCTTCAGATTGCCGTTGTTTATTTGCAGTCCTGAAGTGGTTAATTTTAAACAAATGAGCCTGCAAAGCATTGAGACAGGTACAATGCACAGGCTCCTGCTGTCTCTTTCTTCAGCCCCTGTCCATACCAAGGTATGGACTTTTGGTTAAAATGGACCACAAATGCGGTGATGTTACCACACTTGTACTCCATTGAGAACTACGAGTTCCCTGCTGCAGTAGCACAAACATGGCAAATTCAAAAGTAGACAAAATCCTCTGGGGAGAAGCACCCTGCAATACAGTAAGAGGGGGGTACGGTTAAGGGGTGGAGGGCTTGGCTCTGTGACAAGTTTCTAGTTTACATGGTCATGAAACATGGTCTAAAAGGTGAAATTAGCCTATAGAATTAACAAGTAACCACTAATCCAGTAAACCAGAACTGAGTCCAAGGGATTTTGGGCAAATGCAGCTTGCTTTCAGGTGAAATTGCCTTGCATTTGATATCAATTTGTCAATTTCTGAGCAGGGGGATAATGATGTGCTTCAATAAAAAAAAAAGAGTTGTAGTAACAATAATAATAATAATAAAAAAAAAAAAAAAATTGTATTTTATATGACACAATTGTTAGTGCTCCTGTACACAATTACTCTATATCCCGATACAAACTTCCTAAAACTGTGTTTTTTGCAGGATTACAAACTTCACCGGTCTTACCAGTTTTTAGCTGAGTAGAAACTCTGGGATTACATTCTATGGAAGACTGTGTTGGGCAGACAGTGTTAATTTCAAAGTGCTGCCTGGGATGACCAGAAGCTCTAAAGGCAATTGTTCTACTCACATATAGGAGGAAACAAAAGAGAGCTGTGACTAGTGACACCAAGATCCCAACGTTTCCTTCTGTGTGTATTACATCAGATCTTCTAGACTGGAGACTTTCCAGGGGATTAGGGATGTTGTCAACTGCAGTTACTCCAGCCCCTAATGATACAGTACTAGATTTGTGTTATCTTCAGATGGATATTCTAGTTTTAATTTGCCTTACCAACCCACCTAATTGTCCCCTTCCACCCCTCGCCCCCATAGCAGCCCCTTCAAAGATGCGTTAAGCTGCTACAAGCTGCTTTTGCATTCCAGTAGACATGTATAGGCAGAGGAGCAGTTCTGACATGAACAAAAGCCTGTACACACAGACTTATAGCTAGGTGCTAACTTGGCTTATGATAATGCAGAAAGCCTTTGGGAATTTATGTGAAAAATAATAACCATATATGTATCTTAAAATTATTGTGGTTACATGTATTAAAATGAAATTTTTATGAACACTAAAGTATCACTGTCTACAAAAAAATGATTTTGCATACAGATTACCAAGGTTGATCAACAACATTTTATGAATGATTTGTTAGACTGTTAGAATAATATGTTTGGGACAAAATAAGCAGAAGATCATAATTGCACCCTATATAATAAGATACCTTTTTATGTTATAGGGAAAACCAATAACAGATGACCACATTATGAAGTTGTGTAGCAATGTTCTGCGTGGTAAGTTGTATAATCAAGTTATATTAATATTGAAAGCATTTATTTATTTTATTTATTAATACAGCAAGAACAATGTCTGCAGATTTTTTTTATTAAAGTAAAAGGTTTTAAGAATTTTTAAATAATGCAAAAATAATTACCACAGCGTGACATGAGATTCCACCAGTCAGGGTCCAGAGGTACCTTAAGAAATAACCCACAAGCATCTATATTGTCAAACAAATGGGTTTCTAGGAAAAGTTAAGTGCACATTTTTTTTCAGTTTCTATGTAGAATTCAGGTTGTGGCCCAATATTCATGTGTATTTCTATGTAGTTTATTAGGGACCACTCCTGAAAGTTAGGAGAGGTGATGGTCATCTAATCTAACTGAATATGAGAGGGACAAAAAAAAAAAAAAGAGAGAAGGAAGAAATATAATCTTGGTGCTGAGGGCAATGGGGCAGCGAGGTAAGTAGGGTTGTAGGGATGTGTAGTGTGACAAGGCCTATGGGCATTCATTTATTCCAAGAGCACATAAGGGTTTAAATGCAGATTCCTGAAGTGAACAAGTTGGATAAATGTTATCTTCAAATAGCCATTAAAGCAGAACTATGGAGTTAAGGCTTTTCCCCATAGTTCTCCTTAGGGTAAAGGGGGGACACAAACTAGCGTCCTCCCGTCACCCTAGGCTCAGTATACCGCGAGCTGTAGCTCGCGGTATACTGAGACACCGCAGTATACCGCGAGCTGCTGCTCGCGGTATACGGAGACGCTTAAGCTGAAGCGGATCCCGACAATTGTGCCGGGATCCGCCCAGATGCGTGACTGACAGCTGGCTCTGCCTATCTAGAGGCAGAGCCAGCTGTACCCGCCCCGTCCGTTCCGCCAGTCAGCGCTGGCGGATCGTAGCGGGGAGGGGGGAATCCAGCCCCTCCCCTGTCACGGCAGAGAGCCGTGACAGGATCGAGAGGTGAGCGAACACCGGTATGTGTTCGCTCACCTCCCGATCTACTGAGCCGACCTGTGACAGTCTCATTGTCACAGGTCGGTTAGAACTATGAGGTGAGTGATAAGCCTTTAAAAGATTTTGGAACTCATAAAGAAACTCCAGGCATTCCAGATGTCAAGCCATGAACATAAACAAATACTGTTGCCACTTGGGCTCTAGCATGCAACTCCACTACCTCTTAAGAATTGTCTCCTCAGCTTTGCCAGGCTGCAAGCTTTATGCACTTTTGGCTCTTTAAATTAAATTGCCCACTGGGATTAAACTCTGAGTGGGATGTGTCTTACTGTTATGGATAATTTCCCTCTTCCATTCTCTCTTGTAGACAGCACGGTTAAATAAGTTCAAACTTAAAGAAATATTGAGAGAAAATAAGTTCAAACAGATTTAATCGATAGCCACATAAACAGTATATCTTCAATTTCAAGAAGTACCCACTAGATGGCAACAGTGAGCCATAGAGCTTCAAAAAGACATTGGTCCAAACAAGCACCCAGTCAATGGATACACTTGTAATTCATTTTATTACCATTTTTACATTTTGTAAATGGAGAAGTATTCTGGAGTGACAGTATTCTGGAGTATGTTTTCTGGAGTGACAGTAAGGCCGATCCCAGGAGGGACAAGTGCTGCTTGTAATTGCACGCAGCAGCCCGTTCTTCCCTATGGGAGGATTCGGCTGTACGCTGTCAGCCGCACACACGAACTTGCACATGCGTGCAGGTCCGGGTGTCCGCACTTGGACGCAGACAGTCATGTCTCCACCTCTGATGTCTCCATGAGGAGGACCTGTCACATCATATTTGCTATTATATAGGGGGCTTGTTAACCCCCTCTGTGATAGCAATAAAGTTAAGTGTAAAAAAGAAAATGTAAAAATTGCTGCTTACTGCTTACACTAAACTGATGAGCAGTAAAAGCTTTAAAAGTGTCACCTATGGGACATTTTGGGTATTGTAGTTTTTTGCAGTTTCACGGGCGCACACAAAATGTTAAGGCTTGACATGTTTGTTATCTATTTACCCGATGTGACCCAATCCTTTATATTTTACCAAAAAATGGGTATTATATTCTGTTTCTGTGCACTAAATTTCATTTTAATGTATTTTATCCTAAAAATACTGGTTTTCTAAACATTTGCGCAAATAACTTGCAACATAAAAATTTGCAACTAGCATTTTTTATTCTACAGGGCCTCTGCTTTCAGAAAATATATACAGTAGTTGTTTGGGGGTCTGAAGCTGTTTTCTAACCAAAAATTCAGATTTTATCCTGTGTATGCAAACATCAAGAAATTGCTCCGGACGGCAAGTAGCTAACATAAAAAAGACCGTCTTTTATTTCTTCCAAAACAGAAAAAATAGCTTTCTTCAGTAACAACAACATGGGGTCCGCTTGTCTTTCAGCAAAATTAACACATTACAATATCTCATCGACTCAACGTTGTCGCAAACTTTTAGGGTTTTTTCCCAGGGCTTTAGGGTTTTTATCAACAAAATTCCTCATAAGTACTATTAAGCAGCTTCCAACAGCTTTCCACACATCTTGTGTGACTCTCACACATGGGTCATTGGCTCTCTAAGCCTACCTTGGCTGTTTCTCGTGTGCTTCTATCACACACACATACCTCCACAGTCTTACATGAGCTGCCCGCACACTTCTTCTTGCAGCTCCAGGCGCATCAACACCCAGCCCTTCATGCTGCAAGGGGCAACATGCCCTGTGTGAATGAGGCCACAGATGACCTATGAAACTTGGATAATGCGTATTACAGAGAACATCGATAAACTGAACAAGCTTTCTGACTTTACCATAGAGTAGTGTGAACTAAAGTATTAGCTCTCAAATTGCGCTCACCTGTTACCTGGAGTTGTTCTTTAAATCGAAGAGCCCATTCAGACCTGTGTGTCACAGTAACATGTTATAAAACATGCATTTTACTGAGCACTGCCCCAATGCATAGAGACCCACAAACCGCACGGCACCCAACAAACAGCTACACAGAAGGCAATGCACCGCAGCACACATGTCACATGTCCTAGCTTGTGGTGTGCTGTGTTAAAATAAAGGATCTGTTTTTAGTATTTTAAGGTATGCTGCCAGTGCATTCAAAATGAATGGGTTGCCTAATGCAGCATGCCTTAGTGCACAATAACACATTGCATTAACTCACACATGTAGTCTGAATGGGCCCTTATAGGTCCCTTATAGGCCCTTATAGGTTTTGTTGTGTAATCCTCAAAAGGTAAATAGACCTGGAAACGGGCAGAGAAATAATTGCCACATTCCCGAAAAGATGTCAAAAGCCAGTGAACCAACTTTTTACTGACATGCTAAACAGTATGCAGCATGACTAAGTAGGACTTATTTATTTTTCAAATTTTAAATTTAAATAAATAGCATTTTCATGCCATTTTGTTTCATGTCTAAAACAAAGCTCACTTGTGAAAGTTGTAGTAAGAGGAACTTTACATTGCAGCCCAGTTTCCATCCTTGCTTCAGAATATAAATCCAAGCTGCCCACCATGTGAAGGAAAGCAAGGCTTACCGGGACCACCAGGCATCCAAGGCCGACCTGGTGAAAGAGGACACCAAGGGTACCCAGGAAGAGGGGGCAGATCTGGATATCCAGGGATCCAAGGGTTACCAGGACTACAAGGGTTAAAAGGTGCGGCACTTTTTGTGAATAGTAAACTATTGTATGCACTTTTATACATTACTGTTTTATCATTTAGATTGTGAGCTCTCACGAGCAGGGCCCTCCTTACCATCTTGTCTTCAATTGTATTGTAATTGTAATGTCTTCTCTATATTGTAAAGTGCTATGATGATACCTAAATATATAGAATATAATATCTCAGAAAAATGCTTATAGTGACAGATTTTATATTAATTTCTTGCAGGAGATACGGGACCCAAAGGAGAAAAAGGTTCTAAAGGAGAGCGTGGCATAGGACAGCCGGGCACACCTGGGCCTGCAGGTAAATAATTTACATATTATGGAACAGGAATGAAGAAGAAAATAATGTTTTATTTCTTAGGGCTGTCAATTTTAACTCTACCACCAGAAAATAATTTAAATTTAGGCACACCACTGCATATCCTATGAAGGTTTAAAATCACACTAACCCATAATCAGGGGGCAACAAAACAAAAGGAAAATTACATCTTTATTGCTCCACTAGCAGCCAATAGAAATGTACAGGCAGATTAGTAAACTATAGTAAACTACATTATATGTACTCAATAAAAGAGTTGCAACACAAAAACAAAAGCATAAAGTGGGAAAAGAGGTGATCATTGCAAATCAGGAGGGGCACCAAACAAATAAGTATCAGAAAAAAACAACATAGTCTGTGGAAGTCTTAAAATGGACTTTCATCCTTCCCACCCACCTTCTGTCATATCACCCCCCTCCTCTCTATGAATCTGATTTTTTTTTTATGTTTTTTTTTGGGGGGGAACCCACATTGCACTTCCCAGAGGAGAATGACGTTTCAGTTGCCCCTTGCCTCCCGGGATACCCATGTCACTCCCAGGAGACAAAGTGCAACTTTCTCATTCTCAGGAGGCATCGGTGTACTCTACTGTGCATACAATGCAGCACGTTATCCGGGGGCTGGCTGGTTCTTGCAGCTGGCCCCCTGATGATGTGACATGGCACATGCATGACATTAGTGGGCCAGCTGTAAGAACCCAGAAGATACAGCTGACTCCCGATGAACTCAGAGAAGAAGATGGTGGCGTGGGAACGAGTGTGAAGCAGCACAATAATGGATTCTCGCAGGATACCCCTGGATCGCTGGAGGTGTGAGTATGTTTTTCTCATGGATTACCCATTGAAAAAGGTAAAGGGGAGGGAAATGAGAAGAGAGGAGTGAAGTTCCTCTTGAAATCTGCTTTGTGAGAGATCAAAAAGCCACATTTTCAGTACATGTTGACTGTATCACTGTACCAAACCCAGCAGGTGACATATAAGCTCTACTGACAATTGAAAAAAATATATATATAAATATACAGTACATATAGGCCCACATTTTTAGTGACATTAAACTGGAGTTAAATCTTAAAAATGTATTCAAGTATATTAAAAAAATAAGAAAAATGTACCTCATTTGTGCATCACTGGGCTGTAGAGCCTCAAATCATCCCTGAATTGGGGCTGACACTGTCCTAGCTTCCGGGGGGTGGCTACTTTTGTTCCCCATGGTCCCTGTCTGTGTTGTAAAGTAGCCACCGCTCCAAGCTGACTCCTGTGATGAACTACAATCTTAATATAAATTAGTAAACTAAACATAAGTTTGTAGTGTATCACAGGAGTGAGCTTGGAGCGGTCGCTACTTTACAACACACACAGGGACCCTGGCGAACAAAAGTAGCCACCCTCCAGAAGGAAGGACAGCGTCAGCACTAATTGAGAGATGATTTGAGGATCTACAGCCGAGTGATACACAATAAGGTAAATTTTTGGTAATAGTTAAGGTACTTGAATGCATTTTTAAGATTTAACTCCTGAGCTTAATGTCACTTTAAATGTGGGCCTATAGGTATTGTGATGTTGGGGAGCTCACAGAGCACTCGCACAGCGTTCATCCATCAACAAAAAGTCTTTATTTTTCTTTTAACAGCAGGTAATCAGGACGCCCAACATAAAGAAAGCTTGTCTTCAGCAGAATATACATATATTGGCTCACCAATCACCAAGTCGTCTCACACACTCACGGTGTCCCAGTTTTTCAATAGTCCTCTAATGCAGCACTGCTGCTCCGGCCTCAATCTGCAGGGCCACGGTCTGGTTCATCCAGACCACCTCAATACTGTGCTATCCTGCAGCTCCCTGCTGCACTGGCCTCCATACTTACTCCCAGGTGGCAATCTCCTGTCTCCCAGGTGGGGCCCTGAACAAATCCCAGCACCCTCTTCATGAGGGATGTACACAGGTGCATAATCACTATTAAAGGAGAACTATGAGGTGAGTGCTTTTCACTCAGTTATCATAGTTCTAGCCAACCTGTGACAATGAAACTGTCACAGGTCGGCTCAGTAGATCGAGAAGTGAGCGAACACATACCGGCGTTCGCTCACTTCTCGATCCTGTCACGCCTCTCTGCCGTGACAGGGGAGGGGCTGGATTCCCCCCGCTCCGATCCACCAGCACTGACTGGCGGAATGGACGGGGGAGGGGGCGGGTACAGCTGGCTCTGCCTCTAAATAGGCAGAGCCAGCTGTCACTCACGCAGCTGGGCGGATCTCGACATCGATGTCGGGATCCGCTCCGGCTGCAGCGTCTCAGTATACCGCGAGCTGTAGCTCGCGGTATACTGAGTTTGTGTCGTCCTGTTACCCTAAGGAGAACTATGGGGAAAAGCCCTGACCCCATAGTTCTCCTTTAAGGCATGGACCCATGGAATGGAGATTTCGTCCCACCCAGAGCTCTAAGAAATCTCCTGGCTCCAGGATCCCAACTAGGATCCAGAAAACAAGGAAAGGACTGAAAAGGCAGTCCTTTCCTGGTACAAGTAATTCATTCCTGGAGCCACTCAGCCCCTCTGGCTGAGAATCCTGGGTCACTTTGAGGCCACATAACACAGTGGTATGCCACAGTATATTGATATGAATTTTTTTTCCCCCCAGGTCACGTAACTTGTAGAAATGTAGTTTTAACAGGAGAAGCTGGAATAAATAATGCACTAGTGATTAACTTTAATGTGTGAGGTTAAGAAAAATATCTTTAAACAAGATACCACTAAAGACCATTGAGAACCTGGACTTAAAAAGGACTCATGTGACTTGTAGGAAATGCTAGCCGTAATTATATGCTTTGTTGCTACCTTACAGGTTCCCCTGGAATGAATGGAGTAAACGGAGAAGGCATTATAGGCCCTCCTGGAAATCCAGGGAAAAATGGGGTACCTGGAACCCCAGGGAAACGAGGATTTCCTGGGCCTTCTGGAGTCTGCGACCTTTCTTCCTGTCTATCTGCATATGGAGCAAGGGATGACCCATTTAGAAAAGGACCTAATTTTTGAATCAAATGCTTGCTCATTTGTAGGCCTAGATCCTGATTATAGTCTCAGGAAAATTGCAATGTACAGAAGACGTTTGTTTTTGCACTGAAATCTGCATTTTCCCTCATTTGGAGTAGCAGAGGCAAAAAGACTTTCCTTTAGGGTCTTTATATTGTTAGACTGACTGTAGTTCCATTTTTTGTATTATTTAATTCCGAAGAAGAAATACTTGTCATGCTATTTTGTTTTTTTAATTGTTTTTCTGTGTGATGAATTTGACATGGCCTGGAATTACGCCCTCTTTACAGTCACTACTGTGCTATCACTACAAAATAAAGTTTTAATAATTATTAATGCTTAATCATAATGTTGATGCAATTATATAGTATTCAGAAGCAGTAGAAAATTCCACCAACAAGCGTGATCAAGGTTCTGTCTGTCTTCCTTCTGGAATTGTGTAATCTTTATATAGACAAGGGGTAGGCAAACTCTGGCTCTCCAGCTGTGGTGCAACTACCAATCCTATTATGTAGCTGCCTCTGGGAGTCAAGCCTTTGGCTGCCAGAGTCTTGCAATCCCTAACGGGATTGGTAGTTGCACCAAAGCTGGAGTTTGCCTACCCCTGCTATATACCATCCATTTTAAGACAAGTTTTCTAAGTACAAATTAAGTAAATATGTAGTCCATTTATTGTACTGAATTGCCTACGCCATGTGACCAATTGTGAAATGCCAACCTATGACGCTGATAACGAAGTGTACTGTTTTATATTCCTTTGTGTGATTGCTTCTCAATGCATTAAGCATTATGTAAATGCATTTGCAGTGACACAAAATCATTTGGAATTACACGTGTACGTCTTCACATATTTGCAAATGATCATTTCAGTTTTTTATAATTGTCATTTGTTTGGCAGTTACCTAACTGTGAACCTATAACATAACTGCACAAATCATATAACTATAAATAGGAAATGTAAAATATTTTGCTTTATTTGATGGAGCTGAAGTAGTAGGATACATTACAAATAGTATGTAACTGGAAAAAAATCAGATTCAGAGTCTACGCATTAAAAGGTTTACATAAAAAGAATTTATCAGTATTATAAACATGTTTTATATCTTTTGTCAACATTTTTAAATGACGGTGTATGTAATCTTTTTCATTTTCTACCTTTTATGAATCTTTTTGTGTTTCAATAATAAAAGTCTCATTGTTTTCTGTATACTGCATGCATAATGCAAATGTATTTTGTTTTGAAAGAAAACTAAAAATATAAATTGGCACCAATATGTTGTAAACTACAACATCAGGGCTTCCTTCTTCTTGTTTAGGTCCCCTGCTTTCCGAAAATATGCAGTGATCAGTCATAAGATTTTGACCACTTACATATGAAGTGAATAACATTGATTAACTTGTTACAATGGCAACTGGAAGTGGGTGGGATATATAAGGCACAAGTGAACATTTTGTCCCTGAAGGTGATTTGTTGGAAGCAGAAAAAATGGGCAAGCGTAAGGATATGAGACACTTTGACAAAGGCCACATTGTGATGGCAGCTCTGACGACTGGGTCAGAGCAACTCCAAAACGGCAGCTCTTGTGGGATGTTCCCGAACTGCAGAGGTCAGAACCTACCAAAAGTGGTCCAAAAAAGGAAAATGGGTAAACCAGCGACAGGTTCATAGCCGCCAAGGCTCATTTTTGCACCTGGGGATGGAAGGCTGGACTGTGTAGTACGATCCACCAGAAGAGCTACTGTAGCTCAGATTTCTGAAAAATGTAATGCTGGTTCTGATAGAAAGGTGTCTAAACACACAGTGCATCAGACTCCAGCGGCCCTCGAGCGCTGGAGTCTCACCACCCTTACCGGCTCTCCTGGCCACAGCGTCCATCTCCAGGCAACCGCCCTAATTATAAGCCTCTTTCCCCCAGACACCCGCCGCTTGTCAGCGAGCGGTGCATCCTCCGCCCCCGATCCACTCGGCGTCCAGGCTCACACTGACCGGCCTCATCCAGCCGCCAGTATCACATCTAGAGGCAGCCTCACACCGCACATTATCCAGGCCATACCCCCCACAGTCCTGACAGCATACATCAGCCCGTTTCTTATCGTGCCTGCCACAATCAGCGGTCCCCGTCTACCCAGAATCACTGCCACACATAGTATTTGGACCCAGGCTCTCACTACCACTGAGCCCTCCCTAGCCCCAACGGCATTGACAAACCCACACACCTCCACACCTTCCCCCACCTGTTCACACACATAATTGAGTGCCCATCACTCCCACCAGCGGAGGACTCCTATCCATTCCACCCCTCGCCGATGATATCACGCCATCATCTACTCCTTGGTAAGTTGCTATTGCCTTCTTTGGTTATACCAAGTCACTGTATGGTAGTAGCGCTTCTGTCCTCGTTTTTCTGTTCCTATTGGCAAACATCGGACACCCCGGTCCGCACTTCAAAGAAGCTGCAGACTTAGCACTCAAATCCACACCCTTACCCTAGTGTAGCGCTGCATCAGGAGACAACTCTCCTAATTTTCTAATGGAGTTCATGCCTCCACAGGTCAGGGCTGTTTTGGCAGCAAAAGGGGGACCTACTTAATATCAGGTGGGTGGTCATAATGTTATGGCTGATCCGTGTATGGTTTTGAAGGTGTTTAGTAAGTTTTCTGTTTCAATATTGTTATCGTTTTGTCAAGTAACACGTGAACATTTAACAGCCACAATACAAATAAAAGATTAGAAACATTCTGATTCACAAAGGGTCATTACAAACTTGCGTACATCTAGTAATATACAACGCCTATCTGTTAACGAACAAGCAGTGAAGAGATGGTGTTTTATTACAATGCAGATTCCTGAAGTGAACAAGTTGGATAAATGTTATCTTCAAATAGCCATTAAAGGAGAACTATGGAGTTAAGGCTTTTCTGCATAGTTCTCCTTAGCATAACGGGAGGACACAAACTAGCGTCCTTCCGTCACCCTAGGCTCAGTATAACGCAAGCTGTAGCTGTCGCGGTATACTGAGACGCCGCAGCTGAAGCGGATCCCAACAATTATGCGTGACTGACAGCTGGCTCTGCCAATCTAGAGGCAGAGCCAGCTGTACCCTCCCCCGTCCGTTCCGCTAGTCAGCGCTGGTGGATCGGGGAGGGAGGAATATAGCCCTTCCCCTGTCATGGCAGAGGGCCGTGACAGGATCGAGAGGTGAGCGAACGCCGGTATGTGTTCACTCACCTCCCGATCTACTGAGCCGACCTGTGACAGTCTCATTGTCACAGGCAGAGGCGGCTCTTTAATTAGGCAAATTAGGCGGTCGCCTTAGGCCTCGCGCTCCCGAGGGCCTTGCGGCCGCCTAATTTGCCCTGTCAGAACGGCAGCCAGGTAGCATTGTGAGCTCTCATCCCTTTGTGAACTCTCATCCCTGTAGCTGTCAAACTGAGACTCTCAAGTTTGACAGTGACAGGGCTGAGAGCTCATCCGTTACCTGATCGTTGGTGTGGACCCTCGACTCGGTCTTCTGCACGGAGCTCCGCCCCCCACCAGCCAATGAGAAGAGACCTCACCCCTCCCATCCACCACACGACGATCTCTGGGCAGAGTTTAACTGCAGAAGCTGATGGAGACACCCACACGACAGGGCCAGCACAGCACACACAGTACTGGAGTGGCAGCCTGGAGAGCCTTGTGGAAAGCAGGTGAGAGCCCTGTGGAGAGCCCTGCTCTTTGGTATCTTGTCCTGATGAGACCCCACAGAACCCTGCTACCCTGGTGAGGCCCCCTCAGAGCCCTGGTGAGACCCCACAGAACCCTGCTACCCTGGTGAGGCCCCCTCAGAGCCCTGGTGAGACCCCACAGAACCCTGCTACCCTGGTGAGGCCCCCTCAGAGCCCTGGTTAGACCAGGGCTTTGTGGGGTCTCACCAGGGCCCTGAAGGGGTCTAACCAGGCTGTTGAGACCCCACAGAGCACCGGTGAGACCCTATGGAGCCCTGGTGCTGGTGAGACCCTATCTCGCCCTGGTGAGACCAGACAGAGCCCTGGTGAGACCCCACAGAGCCCTGGTTTAACCAGGGCTCTGTGGGGTCTCACCAGGGCACTAAGGGGTCTAACCAGACTGGTGAGACCCCACATAGACATGGTGAGACCCCTTGAAGCCCTGGTGAGACCCTACAGAGCCTTGGTTTAACCAGGGCTCTGTGGGGTCTCACTAGGGCTCTGAGGGGTATAATCAGGCTGGTGAGCCCGGTTTAACCAGGGCTCTGTATGGGTTTCACCAGGGCTCTGAGGGGTCTAACCAGGCTGATGAGACCCCACAGAGCCCTGGTGAGACCCTACAGAGACCTGGGTTATTCAGGGCTCTGTGGGGTCTCACCAGGGCTCTTTGGGGGTCTTACTGGGGCTCTGTGGGGTCTCACCAGCCTGGTTAACCCCCACAGAACCCTGGTGAGACCTCACAGGCCTGAGCGGGGCCTCATGTTTAGGTTTCGCCTAAGGCCTCGCAAACTCTAGAACCGCCTCTGGTCACAGGTCGGCTAGAACTATGAGGTGAGTGAAAAGCACTCACCTCATAGTTCTCCTTTAACAAGACAAAGTATGACTTGCTAACAGGAGATGTGGCTGTATGTCAAGCACGTGAGAAAATCGGCTAAAGAAATGTATAGGAGGAGGAAACAAGGTAGAGAAGAGGAAATAAACGGTGATGGTGGGAGGAGTGAAATAGGTATTGGATTATCGACTTCTGAGTGGTGGGATTCCCCGTGTCTCAGCTGTAGATCTTCAAATCATCTCTGAATTGGTGCTGGCACTGTCCTTCCTTCTGGAGGGTGGTCCTTTTATTCCCTGTGATCCCTGTGTGTGTTGTAAAGTAGTCAGCACCCCAAGATTGCTCCCATGATGGACTATAATCTCAATACAAATTAGTAAACTAAACATGAGCCCACGCCAATTCAGAGATGATTGGAGGATCTACAGCTACAGAGCGATACAGAAATAATGTAAATTTTTCCTAAGGTACTTGGATGCATTTTTAAGATTTAACTCCTGAGTTTAGTGTCACTTTAAGAAAGTGTCATTTTACGACACTTCAATAAAGTTTTTTTTCTAATGAACAAGCATCATGCTCTGAAACAGCACAAAGCACTGTAGTCTGAACACACTAGCGCCAAACAGGGCAACGCAGCGGCCGAATGGAAACGGGCCTTTAAAGCAGTGGTTCTCAGCCTGTGTAACCTCAAGACCCACATTTGTCCTTGGTCATTAAGTCATGACCCAAGTTGCACTGCAATGGAGTGGAGTGTGAGCTGCTGTGCTGTTATGGAGCTCCATCCATATGTGCATCCACTTGTACAGCTTCCTTGCGCGCCTTGTAGAGGTGCTGGGAGCCAGAATGTGATTTCACTCCGGTCAAAGCACCTCTACAGTGTACGCAAGGTAGCTGTAAGCAATATACATATGGATGGAGCTCCCTCGCGACCATACCACCAAGCCCACTCCACCTCAAGCTGACACTCAACACCGGGCAGCAAATTTTGAATGGCTGCTTGGCATGAGAACTTACAGTGCTGCACTAGGGGGAGGCTGAGGAGCCTCTCCCCTAGAAAAGTGGAAGGCATGCAGTGACCCACTGAACACAGTGTCGTGACCCACTTTTGGGTCACGACCCACCAGTTGAGAACCAAGGCTTTAAAGTATTCAGATAGAACTCTGAGCTGGGCGCCTTCATATGACAGATTAGGAGTGGACTGGGTCACAGAGCAATTTCCTTTATCCCCCACGTCCTGGATTCTTGGACGTCTAGGTAGTTCTTTATATGATACACACAGTTACACAATTTCACTACTTATTCCGACCTCCTTCACTTTTAGCTCCAGCTGACTCCTGTTGCCCCCTCCCCTCCTTCACTATCTGGTCTCACTCTCACTGCCTATAATACCCCTCCTTCACACTTTGCTTCTGCTCGTTCAACACTGCGATTCAGATGCAAACCACAACTCCCAAAATGCATAGTTGACTAAGTCACGTGTCACGCTCCAGCCAACTAGAGGCTGACACATTCCTGAAAACATGCGCAGTGTAGTGTGCTGGGCTCGTAGTGACCGGATTCTTCTGGGCACACAGCGGGTAATTAGAATATAAGGCGCTTTGCTGAGCTGCGTCACCTCATTCAGTTTTTGCGTCATACTGTCCTTGTCACAGGCTGCACAAAGTGAACGGATAACGAGGTTACTCTAGTAGTTTCAGCTGTGACATTGGTGATAAGTGCTGAGGGGTGACGTGGACACCTTATTAACTATTTCACTACTGGTTCTGTTCTTTATCTGAGCAGTTATACAGTCCAGGAATGGTAATATTGATTTGCCTGTAAGTTGTACTTTATTTATGATAGGGGTGCCTATGTTATATTTCAGGAAACACGACTTTTCTTGGGTCGTGGTGTTTTCCATTAATTCTTTTATGATTGTTCGTAGGCAATCTTGGCACGCCTGCTGTTGTGGAACTACAAGTCCCATGAGGCATTGCAAGGTTTTGACAGTCATAGACATGATTACCAGAGACAGAGGCATGATGGGATTTGTGGTTTCATCGCACTTGGTGTGCAGAGCTTGTCTACCCCTAATTTATTTGTTTTATGCAGAGTCCTGCACCCTCCCACAACCACTATATGAATATGTTGGGTGAAAGCAATAATAAAAACTGCGGATTTAATATAGATTGGCGCACAGAGAAAAAAATCGCCAATTTCTACTACAGTATTTACACCACTCAAAATGGTGGACTTTTCAGAACAATTATTAACCAAGAACTTTGGTGCAAGTGTTTATTGTGCACATGTTATCAGACAATAATAAAAACTGCCACATATCGCTTTAAGGCACATGCACACAGGCCTCCTATGTTTAACACAGAAGTTATCTGGGAAGTATAAACACCTTTTATGTCATCAAATGCCTTTACAAACCCTGTTAATACCTTGTAATAGCAGCCGTGACATCATCATTGTGCTGTACATAGCCTGTCAGAGAGCAGAACTGTGGGAAGGAACCAAATAGGACCTCCCATTACAGATGGTCTGCAGAAAACTACAGGAGGGGATGGAGACAAGACCAATCACTCCGCAATACATGTCTCTGCATATCAACATACAGCGGTGCATGCATTGTGGTGCCTTAAGATCACAAACATGCTTTTTGTCATTTTAAATAAAGTTAAACAAGTAAACAGTTTGATACATTGTAACACTGCACAGCCTCTACACAGCACACACGTTATGCTCAGCATATTGTGCAGGGGCATGTTGTGTGAACGTGCCGTTACTGTCAAGGTTATTGCAGTCATTTGTTCTCAGATTGTCTAGCACAGGGGTGGGGGAACTACAAATCCCATCATGCCTCTGGGCGTAATGCCTGTGACTGTGAGAATCTTCCAATGCCTTTTGAGATTTGCAGTTCCACCACAGCTGGAGGTCCAGGCTTTACCCATCCCTGGTATAGCATATAAAAATAGATTATCGTCTCCCAATCTGGACAATTTTAGTCAGACCGGGTGATAATCTCTTATCTATAATTAGAGTTTACAGTAGGGATGCATCGATACCGAGCACCGATATATTTTTTTCCCGGCACGCACCGATACCAAATACCGATGCCGGAAGTCCCATTAATGAAGCTGCGCAGTGTGTAATGACTTGCCACCCAGCTTCCTTATTAGCCAGGAAGCCGGGCGCCGTGTAATGACTCGCCGCCCAGCTTCCCAATGAGACGGGAAGCTGTCACCAGGTGACGAGGAAGCATGGAGCCAGCTTTCTGGCCAATCAGGGGGCGGGTAATGACTCGCCACCTGGCTTTCTGACCAATCAGGAAGCCAGGCGGCGTGTCATTACAAAAGTTTTGCGTCACACACTCAAGCCAATGAAAGCACTGCTTTGTTTACATTCAGCTTGCCTGTAGTCGTTACTGATCAACAATACCATGTAGAAAACTGCAACCGGTCTGCTGTTTAACAAATGTTATCTATTTCTATTCTTTGCTAGGTTTTTTTTTTGTAAATGTTTTTATTGAATTTTCAGAAAGTTAACATGCATAAATGTAGTTACAATTTCAGGCTTCAGTCAGGCAAATGTACATAAAAACAAACAGCGACACGGCCTTCTGGCCGGGAGATATAGTGGGGAGGGAGGAA